GGCCTGGTTCCTGATAATAGAAATATAATTACTTTTTTACCAATATTTTTTAACTTTGTGGTATCAATGATCTTTGTAGGGCATTAATCTCCATTGGCATTGGTTGTTGTGCCATAATATTAGATAGCAGCATAAGACTTTGTACTATACGTCATGCTCCATGATTTCTAAAATCTATAGCATCAACCTTTTCTGTAATCTAAATTATCTCTTTGAATATTTGTGGATCTCTTAGCTCCACCTTTTGTTGGATTCTAGGTTTCAAACGTCGTAGGAATCAATCCATCATCTCCGCCTCTAAAATATTACCAATTTAGAGATATAAAGACTTGAATTGAGAGACATAATCTTGCATCGACCTAGATTGTATAAGATTTGTCAATTGATTGCATGCTATCTTCTCCACATTGATGGACCAAAATTGATTCTTAAACTCGGTCTTAAACTACTTTCAATAACAAAATCTACCTGGAACTCAATGTCACTATCGAATGGGTGCCACATCTTTCAAATAGTTGGCTGCATGTATAATTCCTTCAATAGTATTTGCCTCAAATACTTGAAGGTATTGTTGCATATTGAAGAACCATTGACATACATCTTCTTGTCTTAAAGGCCCAAAGTATATATTAGGCTTATTGAATTTTAGCCTAGTAGATGTCAATTTCTTTGTCCTTAAGACTTCTATTTATCCTTACAAAGTAGCTATGTAGCGTAAGAGGTGTTGTATTTGAGCCTCTATCCAGGATTGCTTTGCCATATCTTATATGTTGTAATTTCTCTACTGAATTCTACTATTGTAATGCCTTCATATCTTTTGGTTGATTTTTTAAGAGCAGCTCACGGTAGTCTCAACATAGTATTCAATGTGACAACAACAATTGACTTTGGATTAGATGATGACTATTGACACATTACCAAAAAAAAATAGTCTAATATTACCTTTGATACTAATAAAATATGACGAGTCTATATCAAGTGTCCAAGATCCTTTTAATCTACAGCAACAAAAAGCTTCATTACAAAGTAGGATAAAGTGGATGAAAACAAAACTAAGCAAAACTAAACAGAATGGGATACAAAAGATAAAATTGAGCAACTAGAATTAAGACAGAACAGAACAAAATAAGAAGATTCAAAATCCAATTATATTAAGAAAAAGGGTTCAAAGCTATATTTGATCAAATGCCTTAAAAGGCCCTGGTTAATCCTATATATATTTTATTCTACCTCTTTGGATTTTTTAGAATATTCTTTAATAGTAGACCTCATTTAGATAATCACCTTAAATTCTTTTTAGAAGGTTTTATGATAGATTTCACTTAGATAACCACCTTAAGTTTTTTTTTAGAAGGTTCCATGGTAAGTCCTATCTAAATAACCACCCTAAACTCCTTTTAGAATGTTCCACAATGGATCCAATCTGATCTACTAATCTAACCTCAATTCTAGAAACTTCCATGGTTCCAACTATCTATCTCTATGTGTCAATAATACAAATATCTTATCTATTTCATGTTATAGTAGCTATGCCATTGAGATTATGGAATATGAAGATCTTGTTTTGGCATAAAAAGAGCTCTCAAACTATATTAAAGGTAGAGCTTTGAGTACCAAGATCATATATAGAGTATGTAGATTTACATTAGAAGATATTTTTAGTAGATATAGTAATATTAAAAAAATAGAAGCTAATCAAGGAAAATTGAATATAATAGAAGCTAGAATTTTTTTCAAAGATATGGTATAAAATTAAAGTTGAAAATTGCTTATAATCTTAATGCTAATAAAAAAAATAAGAGATGACATCTTTGTATATAAATGCTCTTATCAAGACTTATAAAGATAAATCAAAGCAATAGCCTAAACTTCTATCATTTGATTTATGGGCAAATAGAACCACTCATAGTACTATTACTTGTTATATTCTTATTAAAAAAATATTGGATTAAAAGCCTATTATACATATAGATGATTTTGTACCTATTTGAATATTGTTGAATTAAAAATGTGACTCATGAAGTTGACTCACAGATTCTATAGGAAGTAGAGCTTGGTTTGAACTTTGGCTTATAATTAAAAGAGTGATTTTATCTTGTGTCAACTCATTTTGAAACCACATTGGCTCTGAAAGACTTCATTTTTGAATTCTTTCATTTATCTATTTCTATCTTTTGGATATTCAATTTAAAGAAGCTAGATGATAATTTTACCTGTAAAGGTCCTAGATAGGGATTAATGGATTGATATTGATTTATTACAATCTTATACAAATTTTCTTAAAAATTATTTATATTGTTAGCATGAATTGCAATAAAGTTGGAAATTCTATAGTCTTTCTCATGCTACATCCTCTCTTATTGCTTGTTAATATCTTCAATGACTTAGACTATTTTCTTGTTATCTTTTAAATTTTTCAGTCGTTCCTTAAGAATTTTTTAATTATTTTATTATTATTAAATTCTTGGATAAAAAAAATAGATGACAATATTATCCATGTTTGAAATAAGAAAAGAAATAAGAAAAGAAATATGGTTCCTAAACCATTTGTAAGATCCATATTTTAAGATACTTAAAAATCAAACTAAATAATAACTTTGATTGATCATTCAACATGTTGTGAGAGTTTTATAAAACTTTCTATATATGCCGATAGATCGTCTTTCCTACTTCCTTTTAAGATAGGAAAATTATAAGGCATGGATGCTACTTGTAAATCCTTTGGAATTATAATAAGTAAATTCTTTAGTTGAACCAAGTAGTTAAACAATATAGAAATTAGTAAAAATAATTTCTTATTCCATTGAAAGAGAAGGAGGTGTTGGCCTTTCTCTCTCTTCATTTATTTCTACAAAAGAATAAGAAAATTAGGAAAATAATCATTTTTTTCCTATTCCTTCATCTATATTTAATTCAAATGGATTTAAAATAAAGATGTCCTCAAACGTTGAAAGTGAAGGTTCTTTATTTGACCATTAGAATTTAATTCATTTAGATTTTAATTTACTTTTCTTTATAGCTACTTTAAAATTTTTTATAGATGAAAATAGGTTGGGTTGCCTAGATCTAGTAAACAAATGCATCTATATGGCTATGGACATACTGTTCAACTTAGATGCAATTTTATACTACAAATCTCTACATGGAATTTTAATTGTCCGCTCTTCCATCTACAACCTAGTCAAATTACCTTCCAATAAGGAAAAGAAATAGAATAAAAATAACTAAAAGAAGAATATTTTCTTAAGTATTACCTCAACTAAGGACTTTTTTTTAACTTTATTTATTATATTATATTATATGGAAGTTATCCTAGGCAACCATAATGTAATTTTTTTTTATATTGGGATAACATGGAGCTCAAGCTTTTTCCTCTCTTTGTTTCTTCACACTAAGATAGTTAAGAAATAATCCATTATAACAGTTAATAATAAATTATTACAATACAAAAGTATTCCTTGTAAATAATCACACCATATTGAAGAAGAATCTTACATAGTTGTAACTCTAGCCAATTTGACACTTATTAACAAACTTCCATATGCAACTTCCCGCTAATTAATCCAAATTAACTATTCAAATAGAGTTTAAGATTAAGAAAAAATGATTCTATCCTTTCTCCCTCTACAACAACTTCTACAAGATGGTTTTGGAATTTACCTCTTTTTGCATTTTTTTCTTAGATTCTATTCTCTAATTTCAAGCTTCTATTCTTTGCCTTTATAATAATTAAGTAAAATTTCAAGGAATGGAAATAATTGATAAAAGTCTAAGAACTTATTTGACTTTGAGCTTTTTAGTACTACTTTTTCTTCTTCTATTCTTTTCTCTTCAATCCACAATCTATATTAGTTGAATTAAATTAAAATTCAAAAACTCAATAGAAGGAGTACTTACTTTAGATTATGTCTTTCAATTAGTTGTTGTTGTTGTTGTTGTTGTTGTTGTTGTTGTTGTTGTTGTTGTTGTTGTTTTTTTTTTTTTTTTTTTTTTTTTTTCCCTAAATTTTTTATATCTATCTTTTTTTTAATCTAATATTTCTTCTTATAATTCTTTTTTTTTTTAATATAATCAATGAAAAATTCTCTTAATACTTTTATTAAATTCCTTCCTATACTACCATGTACAGAGAAGGAATATGAAGGATGAAGGATGTGATTAAATCTTCATACTGCTAGAATATAACCCTCAATTAGAATTCATAAAGATGGAAAGAAATGGTACGAAGGATGGAAAAATAATTAAATCTTCCTACTACTAAAGAACAGCTTCCAATATGAAAATTACAAAGAAGAGAGATAATGACCTTTAAAGAAGTATTCTTTGCTCCAAAAATCCAAATCCCTCTACCATTCTAAACTTGAAATTTCTACTTATAATTATCAACTAAAACTAATTCCTAATTACCTTCTAAGTTTGTTAGAACCACCTCTTTCCTCGTGTGAAGTAAAATAAATCCCTCCTAGTTGGAAGTCTATTCTAATTCACCATGATTTTAATTATCTAAATTCATTAATAAATTTCCATTATCATTTGATTAAATATCCAAAAATTCCACTAAAACTCCAATTGTAATTGATATAATTCCTTTAATAAGTAAGCTCTTCTAATTCACTAATATTAATTAGCTTACAATTTAAGTGATTAAATTGTTTCTTATTTTATTCTATCTTTTCAATTTTCTACCAATTAAAATACACCCTCGACCTCCACAATAATAGCACAACTACTTAGCAGCTTAACAAAAATCCACACTCAAAAGACAATGTTTCAGAAAATTTAATTCAAGTCCATAGATTTTTTAACCTTTAATGTTTTTCTGGATATTAATTATCATCCAAAATTCATTCAAAGGAATTTCCGTCCACAAATGAATTTTCATCCACAAATAACTTCTCATCTACGAATAAAAACTCATCCAAACCTAATCAACTTCATCCATGATAAATCATCTAACTTAAGCTAATTCATCTAAGTTTAATCTAATTCATAAGCAAGTGTTTTCCTCCAATTCGATGATATTACCTTGGAAATTTCAATTTAATTTTTGATGTGGCCTAGACCTCTTAAAATCCACAATGTTGAGGACTTTAGAAATACAACATCGTCCACCGCCTTGGGTCTGGTGCTGAGCTTTAGCAGGTCTATGTTGGTCCACCTGAGCTCCTTAGAATCTTACTTCCCTCACTTATCTACTCACGATCGACGTTCTCTACACAGAGTAGATCGTGCACTAATCTCTACCTAGTCCCTTCCTACTACCTAATGTGGTTACTTACTATCATGACGTTTGGAAGCTTGATCTGCAACAGCATTGAATGAGCTTGGCAATGAAAAAAAATAGAACAATGCAGAATCGAAGAGGAGTCGGGGTAGTGATTAGCATGGTGCAGACGGTGAAGAATACTACAGCAGCTTGGATCTTGTTATTACACATAGAATTCGACAATGGCTACTAATCCTTATCTAGACTCTAAGGCAGCGTTGACTTGGTTCTTCCTTGATGGTTCCAGAATGCAATGCTAAATAAATCAACAATGGAAAGGTAACTGTGAAGCGATAAAGATCAACAATTTAAAAAAAAAATTGAGATTGGCATTAACGAATATCATAGGACGGAATCAAGGAGATGAACGTGGAAGAAAAAAAACGACGATACTACCACCAAGACGATATCGAAGAAGGGCTCCACGAGGAATCACTTGAAGAGAAGAATTCAAGATGCGCCAACCATTGGCCGCAAGTCGCACCTTGCTGCCGACTTAAGCAAAGCTCCTTCTTCAAGATAAGTACTAGCCACTGCCATTGAAAATCCAATACTATTCCACGTCACAGCAACAATACTTGTATTGCATCACCTCCAAGTTGACTGCACTGCTTTGATAACCAACGTGAAGATCGTAGCTACGCCGCACCTTTATGCACGCAACCAACACCACGTCAAACTAGGAGCAAATGCAGCAGCTCCAATGCAGCATGAACATGTTTTTGCCTTATCGCAATACGCCACAGGAAAAAAGAACTGCAATGACAAGAGGAAATCAATCCACACTTGCTGCACCGTCGCAAGTAAGAAGGACACAGATTTACGGCGCTCCGCCTTTTGCAACACCAACCTAGCAATACCGCCGCATATGTTATCACTTGTAAATTTTCTCTATGCACGGAATGAGCCCATAAGCATAACAAATCCCTGCCGACCACCTTCAACCAACTCTGCCCCAATTGCAGGACGTCGTAAGGAATAGGAATCCAATTCACACTTGTAGGAATTCTACAAAAGTATCTAATTTGCAGCAACCCAATCAATTGTGCAGATCGACGGAGAAGCCAACATAATAAAAATTGCGGATGGAGTTAAGTTGGAATACTCAAACGATGAGCAATAGCTCCAATCGCTTACTCAACTGCCGCCACGACCCTCGTCTACAATCATCGCAACATCGCACGAACCCTTGCCGCACCACAATCTTGCTCTTCAGTCGCATCCAAAATCTAGGAAACAAACCATAGCACAGCTCTTTGAGTTGCGGCACTTCCTATGTTGACAATGGTGCCCAGATAGCAAAGATCGAGAGCACTCCTTGACCGTCAAAACCCTAGATGATCAAAAGTTAGAAAAAAATTGAGATCCAGAAGTGCTGCACCACAGCCCTTCTACAATGCGAAGGGAATAGGACGAAGAGTTCCGGAGCGCCGAAGCTTGTGAAGCCGAAAGCAAAGAACAATGAAAAAAAAAATAGAGTACTGCCTTGCAACTCTCCAACAGATAGAAGATATCTAACAGGGAAGGGACTCCGGAGCGCTTGGAATTCATGAGATCAAAGAGAACAAAAAAAACAAAAGTTAGAGCAAGGTAGGAATCCGGGCGGCCGGACCCCTATCAACAAAGAGAGGCGGCCGAAATTTGGGGGCAGCCTCTCGGCTTTCGACATCTTCGACATTTTTTTCTTTTTTTCCTTTTTCTTTCTTTCTCTACTTTTCATTCTATATTTCTGTTTTCTATTTTTTCTATTTTTATTTATTTAAATTTAATTAATTTTTATAAATTGACCACTTCAAATTACCTTTTGCTCCTAATGTACTTAATTTTTAATGGAATAATTATATTATAAAAGACATTATAAATCTATATCAGCTCAATTAAGGAGAAATTTACTTATTTAAAATTCTTCCTCCAAAAATCCTACCAAGGATCTAGTCTTGTATTTAAAATCCTATTTTTTCTATTTATTTCCAAAGTACTACATTAACTCACTAGATTGGTGATTTTAAGCACCTTAAGTTTAATTTTTGTACTAATAACATAAGTAAATCAATTGTTGACCTACATATAATGACCATTTGGGATAACTTGTAAAGAATAAGAACCTAGAATTCACTAATTAAAATCTATTACTTGAAAAGAGAAGTAACTACTATTGAGATCATTAAATGTAGCTGGTGTTCTCCATAATATTTATTGTAGACTATAGTAAATACCATACCTACAGTATTTAGAATCTAGTGGAGAAGTATTATTTATCTTGTTGCCTTTCTCTTCTTGTATACAAGACACAACTAGATCAATAGATTTTTATGTGTGAAGCTCTCTCTTCTTAGAAACCCTCTTGTGTGTATGACTTATTACTACTCTTGTGTGTATATTACTTACTATTACTCTTGTGTCTTTGTAAACATTTTCAACACGTTATCAGCACAACTCTCTTCTACACACAATCACAATTTTTTTTACTTTAGTCTTGACTCTTCAAACATGTTGCTACTCTTGTTCAGTGTCTACCTTATGATCTTGCTGATCTTCTTTTTGGCCCTTCACACATTAGTTGCTTGCTTAGAACAGTTATTCTACTCTCTGCCCTGCTTGCTTAGCATACTTGCTTAGAATACTTGCTTAGAATACTTAATCTAGCCCAACTCCACCCCAACTTGCTCCTTGTTGCATCCCATGCTTGCTACCAAATGGTCGCTAAGTTGTTGTCGAGCTATCGCCAAACTACCGCTGAGCTACCACCAAACCCACTACTGCTACCCTACTGCCACCTTGCAACCGCTGCCGCCAACCATGTTGCCGCTACCGCCCACCACTACCACTGCCACCCTACCGCCTTACCGCTGTCGTATTACGTGCTTTTCTGCTCGAGAACGCGCCGGGCGTCTGCTTGTAGAAGGTAGTATGGAGATTCGCTAATATTCAAGCAGTTATCGGTTTTTGACTGTTGGAATATAAACAACTGCAAGAATACATCGTTAATCTATACGAATGTCCTTCGACTGCTCGCCGAAGTCCTTTTTGCCCCAGCCGGTAGGTCTCTAGACGTTACAGAGAACCCCGAATAATCCAAACTGCTAATCTTCGATATCGCTTTATACTCACAATCTTGTATCCACTAACTGTCTCGTTAGATTAACCCAATAAATTTCATTTACTCCACATACTCAATCCTATAGACACCCTTTTAATTCTTCAATCACAGACGTAACTTCGATTTTACGAAACAGTCAAGAGTAATCAAACCCACTTCATTAAAAATCCCGATTCACCATTACAACACTGACTTCAGCAACGATTGCCTCAGTCTTCCCATAACCCTATGAAGAAAAAAAATCCAATTCTCTGTCTTTTTTCCCCTTCTCGAAGTATGAAGCTAGCTCTCTGATCCTTCAAAACCCCCTCAAAAACTTCTTCTCTCCTCCCTCTCATTTCTTAACCTTAAATCTGAATTTTTTCAATCTTCCGTCTTGGATCCAAAATTGGCTCCCGCCGTCAGAGCTTGGATCCAAAATTGGCTCTCGTCGTCAGAGCTTTCTCCTCCGTTTTTACCTTTAAGAGATCTTTTTACTGAAAGGACGTTCCCGGAACGGCACAAAGGACGGAACAACATGAAACGGAATTGCAGCCCCGTAATCGGGACCACATTGAGTCGCCCGACCAATTCAGGTCTCATATTGGGTAAGAGTCCAGTAGTAAGACCCAGATGTTTCCGTAATTGGATCAAATTGGTCCTTTGCGTCAGATTGGCTGAGGCCCGTAGTAAGATCTGGATTTTTCCATAATTAGACTGCATTGGATTGCCCGACCAATTCAGGTCTCATATTGGGTAAGAGGACCCGGATTGGATGTCTTGAAATTGGATCCAATTGGCTCTTTAAACCAAGCTCACCCGTCGTTGAATTGGTCCTTTCTCTTTTTTGCTGACTCCCGTTATTGGAATCGAACGGAGCATTTCAGTATGCCCCGGCTGATTGTAACGGGGTGACTGACCCTAGCCTCCCAGTATTTGCACTGGAATTGGTCGTTGCCCCTATTATTAGAGATAACTAAATATTAATAAAAGTCCCCTTTCTTTATATTTTCATGGTATACTTGTGTTACAACACGACATCCACCCCCTCTGAACCTGTGCATCCTCCGGTATGCACCAATTTACCCAATTGCTGTTTGATTTAGAATATATCCTCTACGTCTTTGTCCAGTTCATCTTTGTCACCTTCATTATCCATATCACTTTCATCTTCTTGCTGCGGAATCCCTATACCTTCATTAAGGTCTTCCATATTCATCTCTGCGTATCTTCGTTTAAATATTTTTACTCGCTTCCCTGCAATTGGTATTTTCAATTTTGTACCATCTAACTCCCGTAATGAGTAAGTCGCATTATCATGAACAATTGTTAGTACATATGGTCCAAACCAACGTTTTAAAAATTTCCGCAAAGTACTATGTTGATTATCTAGACTATTGTCATAAACAAGTACCCAGTCACCTTCCTCGATTGCTTTAGGTCTCAATCGATGTTGCTTATCGAATCGTGCCTTGTTTTGTAACCTTGCTCTTTTTAACCTTTCCAATGCTATCTGCAAATCTTCCGATCTTTGCTCCAATTGTTGAATCCTAACACCCAGAAGTTCTTCTCTTGTCAATCCATCTTCCCATGGTAGCATACTCCAAGTAAGTACCTTTTCTTCAATCGATATAATTGGTTTTCGACCTGTCATAAGTTCTACTGATATATATCCTGTCACCGAACTATGTGTTGTTCGATCAGCCCATGATGCAAATGACAAAAGCCGTGGCCACTCTCTAACTTTCCCATTACAAGCTTTAACTAATGCTTTCACAATCGATGGGTGACCGCGTTCGCTTTTTGCATTCTCTTCTGGATTATAAGCAGTAGTCAGTGATAGTTTAACTCCACATCTTTCAAAGAACTTACGAGCTTCTTGTGCATTTAATTCTCCATAATCTGCAGTGATTTTTCCTATGCATCCGTAGCGGCAAATGACATCTTCAAGCAAAAACCTACAAATCCCCTCTGTAGATTTTGTCCTCAATGCTCTTCCTTCTACTTGATTTGATAAATCTTCACGAGCTAAAACCAAATATCTCATCTGCCACAACCCAACTGGCATAATAACCAAATCAACAACCCATTTAAAATGAATAGCCAGAGGATACGTAGGATGAAGACCATCTCGATGTCGGATATTAGAATACGATTGACAAATTTCACATGACTCTACAAATGAGAACACATCTCAATACATATTTTTCCACCAATATCGTTCCTTGAGTTTAGCAAAAGTAGTCCAGATTCTTCTATGCCCTGTCCATAAACTATCATGAAACTCCTTTAATAATTTTAGTTTTTCTTCCTTTTTGCCTATCACTCGTTGTGGCATCCCAATTCCTTTCTTCGGTCTCTTCCATAAGAATCCATCTCGAAGTAAAAATCCATATGCTTTTTTTCTTATTTGTTTGAATTTTTCTGTAGACCAATTCCCCTGCTTAGTCAAGGTATTCAAGTAATGACCAATATCCAATAATTCTCCTTCATAAGATTCTTCAAGAAATAGCTTGTCTTCATTGTTGAGATTTGATATTGAATAGAATTTCAATCCGACATCATCAATGTCTTCAACCATTTTGTCCTCCCTCTCGTATCTTGCTCGAGATAGCATGTCTGCTACTAAATTGTCCTTCCCAGTAACATGCTTAAATTCTGGATTTAGTGACTTAATATAAGCAATCCATCTCAACATTGCAATATCTGGCGTTGAACAGTTAATAATCATTCGAAGCAATGGCAAGCAATCTGTTTTAATTACTACTACTACCCAATCAAATAGTCCTTTTCAGCTTTCATAGCCGAAACAACTCCCCAAAGTTTTCTTTTGACTTACGAATATGCACGCTGACGAATACTTAAAACTTTAGCTCCAAATCGAACTGCAAATCTATTCCCACCGGAATCATCTTGACCCACAGTCCATCCAATGGCAATTGGACTAGCGTCCACAGTAAGAATCACTGGTCTATTGCACTTATAATCAACCTTCCTCAATATTAGAGGTGACATCAATAATTTCTTCAATCTTTGCATTGCCTAAATATGCCTTTCTTCCCATTTAAATCGGTAATCCTTGCGTAACAGTTCATATAATGGATCCGCTATGTGAGCATAATGAGGGATCCATATTCGATAAAATACACATGCATCCAAAAACCAGCGAACCTCTGTTAAAGAATCACAATCCTCTTTCATCCTTCCAATTGCATCAACTTTAGTCGGATCTGGTTTTCTTCCGTAAGATCCACATAAATGTCCAACAATCACAACCTCTCGTACTCCAAATACGGACTTCATACCCGATAATGTATGATGAACTTCTCCAAGCCGAGTTAAAATCTTTTCACAATCTTGTATATGATCAACAACATATTTGCGACACCCCCTCGTATCTAAAGTTTCATCTTTGTCCCCTTCTCTGCACTCTTTTATAGGAACATCATCCAGAAAAGGCATAGTCTTTTCCGGAATAAAATCTCTCAATACCTTATTCATCCCATTCATCATATGCGCAACTG